CTACCAGTGTCTCACAACTGTCTCACGGGAGTGAGTTGCACTGAGCCATTTGTACTGCTTTATAATTTAATTAACTGTTTATTTCTTATGTTATCTAGCTATCTGTATAAATATATATATAAAATTATTAGCAATCTGGTTTCGTCTCTCTAGAGAACCCTGTCTAATACAGTGCATTCCTGAGAGAACTTGTCTGCAAACATCCACTAACCACAGAGACATGTTTAAGATGTTCTGTTGGAAATAAACCTACACACATATGAACTGGAGCCCTAATTGTAGTAATTTTATACTTACTCTTGTCTATATACAAACATATATGAGGCGATTTGCTTCAAGAAAATGATTCATGCTGTTGTGGGCACTGTCAAGCTCCAAATCCGTATGTCAGGTGGCAGGCTGGAGATCTCTGCAGGCTTCTGCCCTCAGATCCAAGGTCAAGTGACAGGAAGCGTGCCAGCTCAAGAGCGAGAGAAGAGAACTTTGCTTGTAAATCCATTTGCCGTTAAACCTGCGAGACCCTGGACTCCATTCCTTTTCTCGATCTTGAAAGTTTTCTGTCACTGACATTTGAGTCTTACCATTTGTTAGTGGGAAAAATTGTAATTTCTTTCTCTGACAGGTCTCGTGCTTCCTCAGGTTCCGTTTTTTTTCAGGTTTTCCTATGTACTCTGGAGGCAGACTGCAGTCCCAAGGAAACTCTCCTCTCAACAGACTGACTGCTTGTATCAGGTTACTTCATGGGTAGTGAGTACATGACATGACATGACATGACATAAAATGACATGACATCATAAAATAGCAATCAGTCCAATATCGGGCCAAACCCTAAGAGTTAGAGCCTAGTTAAATTGGTGCATAAAATTTAGCCATCACAGAAAATAAGGCCTGAATTTAGTTCTCATATGCCCCACGAGTCGTTCAGCCTTATCGCCATCTCCCTACCCTGTGTGGGTGTTGAACTCCAGCATTTCTATATGCTTGAAACAGAAGATGGTGGCGCAGAATTGGGCATAAAGATGTCTTCTTTACCAGCTCAGTACAGGTAGACTTGCACCTTCCTATTTGCTCTCTTTGTTCACCCATTTGCCCATTTGCCCTTGGCCTCTACAGCAGTGGTTCTCAACTGTCCTGATGCCATGGCCCTTTAGTACAGTTCCTCATGTGGTGGTGACCTCCAACCATGAAACTATTTTCGTTGCTACTTCATTAACTGTAATTTTGCTACTGTTATGAATCATCATGTAAATATCTGATATGCAGAACGTATTTTCATTGTTACAAATTGAACATCATTAAAGCATAATGATTGATCACAAAACAATATGTAATTATATATTGTGAAATATTCATTTCTAATTACAAATAAATGAAATTTTGTCTTGAAGCATGGGGTAGCATGGGTAACAATCTTCACACCGGGTACTCTTAGGTGGGTGGATCTGTATGTGACAGACCTGCCTGAAGACCAATAGAGGAGCAGTGTCTCGGTTCCTAAGACCATCAGAAATATGTGTTTTCCGATGGTCTTAGGCGACCCCTGTGAAAGGGTCATTCAACTCTCAAAGGGGTCGAGACCCACAGGTTGAGAGCCACTACTGCACTAGAACTTTGTCTCTATGTAAATGCTGCTCCTTTGAGCCTAACTCGTTAATTACTCTAAGGTGTGCAAACCTCAACAATGTTATTGTTCTCCTTATAGGATTGTCTATTTGGGTGAAAATTGATCCACAGGGGTGGGTTCAGTATCAGATCAGAAGAGTGACCAATGGCCACAGTCTCAGGGGTGCTATATTCTTCTAATGGAATAGTATTCATAAGTAATGGGATATATGCTATACTGTGGATGGACCTTAAAAACACAATACAATCTGGAAAAAAGTCTCTCACAAAAGATCACATAATGCGTTACTCAGTTTTTACAAAATGCTCAAAACAGGCCAAGTTAGAAACAGAACCGAGTCCCTGTGTTGATGGATAAAGTGTGCAGATGTTTCTTTTTGAGATGATGAAAAAGGTTTCTTCATGGACTCTGGTCATGATTGCACAACTCAGCATACGGAAACCCATTCCGTTTTATACTTTAAATGAGTGAAACGTATGGTATGGGACTTATGTCTCACAATAATACAACTATTACAGATATATACCCAAAGAACAGTAAGATCACCATGACAAAAAGCCAACATTTTGTGAAGCTTCTTTCACCTATTCCTCTCCAGTGAAACAAAGTAAAACCCAACAAAAATAGTTTCCCTCTAGGTTCATTCCAACTCTTGGGAGATCCCATGTGGATAGGGTTTTCAATGAAGGAGACCTGGTGGTGTAGTGGTTATGCATTGGCCTGTGATCCGCATGGTCGGCAGTTCTAAACCACCAGTAGCTCCTCAGGAGAAAGACTGGGTTTTCTACTCCTGCGTGGACTTACAGTTCTGGAAACCCATGGGGGTTGCTTTGAGCCAGAATTGACTCGATGGCAGTGAGAGGGTTTTCAATGGCTGACTTCTTGGAAGTAGGTTTTCAAGACTTTCTTCCTAGTGCTCTGGTGTTTCAGTTAGTAGTCGGGCACATTTAATCTCTGGCACCACCAAGAACGCTCCACAGTGAAGAGGTCTTCATTACCCGGTTTGATCTTTTCTTCAATTACCAACATTTGTGCACACCCATCGCAAGTTATTCCTTGTGAGGTTTGTTAGGCATATAAAGGTTTTGGAGAAATCATATTTTTCAAGTTTGTGATCACAGTTTGAAATGTCTATGGCAAATATTTGTTCCAGAATTGTTGCGAGAGCAGAGAGTGGTTACAATCCCCATCCCTAGGTAGCGCCCCACATGACCTGTAAATACAATCAGAGTGTCTGTGTGTGCAGAACTGTGGTATGGGACATCAGCATGTATTCTCCAGGTGGCTCCAATGCTGCAGAATATACAAGCTGTGAATGATGTTTTGTTGCTGTTACGTGCCATCAGGTCAGTTTTGACTCATGGAGACCCTGGGTACAACAGCACTACACACTGCCTGGTCCTGCATCGTCCTCACAATCCTTTGTATGGTTAAGCCCGTTGCCTCAGTCACTGTATGGACTCATCTCATTGAAGGACTTTCCACTTTTTGCTCATCTTTTACTCTACCAAGCATGATGTCCACTTCCAGGAACTTTGCACGTTCTCTTTCCTGAGAACGTGTCCAAAATATGTGAGATAGAGCTTTGCATTCCTTGCTTCTAAGGAGCCATTATCACAGTACTTCTTTTAAGAGAGATTTGTTTATTACTCTGGACGTCCATGGTACTTTCAATAGTTTTTGTCAACACCATAATTCAAGGCATCGATGCTTCTGTGGTCTTCCTTATTCATTGATTGCCCAATATTCACATGCATATGAGATAATTAAATCGTGTCTTGGGTTGGGCGCCACTTTGTCTTCAGAGTGACATAGTCTTCAACACTTTACAGAAGTCTTGTGCATCAGACTTGTCTTTGTCCTTTGATTTATGGAAGCTGCAAGAACATCAGTTGTGGATCCAATCAAAATGAAGTCCTTGACAAGTTCAAGCTTTCCTCAGGTTGATCATGATGTTCTCTATTGGATATTGCTTTTTATATTGAGCTGTCATCCCTACTGAAGGCTGCCGTCCTTGATCTGCATCAGGAAGTGCGTCAAGCCCTCCCCACTTTCAGCAAGCAACTTTATGATATATACATATTGCAGGTTGTTCCTAAGCGCTTGTCCAATCCTGATGCTGAATTATTTTCCAAATGGTCCGGCTTCTTGGATTATTTGCTCAGGAGACAAATTGAGTAAGTGTGGTGAAAGGATACAACCCGGTGCAACGTTCCGGATTTTGCACCATGCAGTATTCCCTTGTTTTATTCATACAACTACTCATTGATCCATGTCCATGTTCTACATGAGAACAACGAAGTGTTCTGGAAGTTCGATTCTTCTTGATGCTATCCAGTTTGTAATGATCCGCATAACTCGAATGCCTTTGCATAGTCAATAAAACACAAAATCTTACTGATTCATAGGATTCCTTGTGGGTTTCTGAGACTACCTGTTTACAGCGAAGGTAGAAAGCCCAATGTAGAAAGCCCAGACTTTCTCCCATGGAGCTGCTCGTGGTTTCAAACTGGTGACCAAGTGGATCGCAGTCCAACGGGTCACCACTACATATCCTATAACTTGGGTCAAGTATAACTTGATCTTCAAGTGGTACCTTTGCTTCTGAATGAAGGGGTCTGTTGCAGATTTGCCAAAGGCAATCGATTGTTTGATTTCTTGACTGCTTTTTCCAAACATGTTGATTTTGAATCCGGGTAAAATGAGACCCTTGACAACTTCAATATTTTCTCCCAAAGATGCTTTAATAGGATTTAATTTGTTAACCTGATGATTTCATTTATTCCAAAGAACAAATGAAGTTTTATGCAGAAACTATTGGATTTGTTAACTGAATAACAAGATTGACCCGTTGACGGAGCTAAAGAGAAATTTATTTTTTGAAGCTTAAGTATTTCAATTATTTAATATTTAAACATTGAATATTCAGATGAGGATACTAATAAAGTGTGCTTTCCCAATCAGCAACAGCCCCTAAGGATTTAACACATGTGTTGCCGAAGCAAACACCAGCCCCTAAGGATTTAAAAACCACCTGGACAGCTGGGTCACCACATGACTGACCAACAGGTGCCCTAGGGAGCAAGAGGGAGAAAAGTTAAATTCAGAATATCGGGTTTTGTTGTTTTGTTTTCTTCACCAACCAGACCCGGCAAGGGGTCGCCATTGACCAGGAAGTTTCCTCTGTTATCCCAGAGCCTTGGCAATGGCCCAAGGTGACTTCTTGGGCCACCGCGTTCCCCCACCCCCCGCCCACAGGAGGCTGGGCCCAGTAGGAACAAAGCGTCGACCCGGACGCGCCGGAATCGCGGCTGGATCCGCGAAATGGGCCTGGGAGCCCGGCCGGCGCTTCTGCTCCTGCTGTTCTGGGGGGTCGTGGTCCCGAAGGAGCGGCGGGCGCGTGAGTCCGGGGTCTGCGGGGGACCGGGGGCGCGGCGGGGGGAGAACGAGGTCTCCCGAGCGCTCGGGAGTTGGCAGAGTTCGGGGAACCGCGCAGCCCTGCAATTCTTCCCCAAACCCTGGGTGCCCCCTAATGCTCGCAGGGGGTCCCTCTGCCCAGCAGGAGAACACCCCTACCCCCCCGCAGTCCCCCTAGGGGGAGGGGGACCCTTTTTGTTCTCCCCGCAGAGGAAATCTCTCCGCTGGGCCTTTAGCCAGAGCTGGGCCAGGGGAGTCCTAGGACTTGGGCCTCCGTTTTCGGACGAATGTCTTCAGGAGTATTTGTCCCCTGTAGTCCTGAAGAGAACAGGAAGTTCTTTTCACTAAGTGCGCCCTTGGCCTTGGTGCCCCCTGGTTTATGCGCTGCGACGGGGTTGGAGATTTGGAGTTGAGCGAACTGGGCGGAACCGGCCCTCTTCCAAGTTAGTAAAGCTGGACAGGGCGCGGGGGCGGGGGTGGGGTGGGGATGGGAGTGTGTGGGAGCGGGGGTCGGAGGCCTACTTCACCCCCACTCCCTAGAGGGACGAAGGAGGCACGAGGAGGAGCTTAAGAGAGGCCTGCTCCCCTGTCTTTCCAGAAAACTGTTAGCTGTGGGAACCGGGTTTTCTTTTCTACCTAGGCTTTATTGACCGCGATGCTAATGTGCTGCATGATTAAGGGTCGTTAGCACAGAATGCCAAATTGGTGATGATGATGAACAGTCATGATCTGTGGTTTGAAAGCTCATCCGTATCTGTGATTTTATTTCCCGTTCCTTATACACTTGGTGAAGAATATTGAAAACCCCACGGGCTGCCAGAAGGACAAACCCATATTGCAAGTAGTACAGCCAGGCCTCCACGTGCTTTGGGCATGTTCTCAGGAGACAGCAGTCCCTGGAAAAGGACATCATGCTTGGTAAGGGCATAGGTCAGTGGAAAAGCAGGTCTTTACCAAGATGACTGACACGGTAGTGGCAACAATGGCCTCAGACATAACAATTGTGAGGATGGTGCAGGGTCAGGCAGTGTTGGTTTTGCTGTACGGCTGAGTTGGAACTGGGTAGAGGACGCCTGATAACACACAGCAAGCATTTGAAATAGGACAAACCTGAGAGGACTGACTCCCTGAAAGAGTTAGTCTCAGAAACCCTAGCAATTCTATGTTGTATGGGGGTCACTTTGAGTCAGAATCTACTCAATGGCAGTGGCTTTACTATGTTGTTGTTATTGCGAGGTGCCATCACGTCAGTTTGGACTCAGATGATGGAATGAAACACTGGCTGGTCCTGTGTCCAGGACATGTTACGTTTGAGCCCCCTGTTGCAGCCACTGTCAATCCATCTTTTCGATGGTCTTACTTTCCACCGACCTTCTACTTCACCGAACGTGATGCCTTTTCCCAGGGACTAGCCTCTCCTGGTAACACGCCCACAGGACCTGAGATCAGGTCTCAGCATGCTCACGTCTACGGCGCATTCTTGTTGTGCTATTTCGAAGACAAAATGTCTTGTTCTTGTGTCAATACCTTCGATATCCTAAAACTGTCATTCCAATGCATTGTGTTAGTCTGGGTAGACTAGAGAAACAAATCCACGGACCCACCTATGTGTATGAGAGAGAGGCTTATATACAAGAGCGATTGAACATTGGGAAAACATCTCAGCCCAGTCCAGGTCAAGTCCATATGTTCGATATTATCCCATATTTCCGATATCAATCTATAAAGTCCTCTTCAGACTCACGAAACACATGCAATGATGCCAAATGCAGAAGATCACAGGCCAGTGGGTAGAAAGTCTTT